GAGAGGTTGGGGAGTTTCCTTCTCTGGAGCCGTTCAAAACCCTCCCGGACACGTTCCTGTGTGACCTACTGTAGGTGATCCTGCTCTGGCAGGGGGGTTGGATCAGATGATCTTTCGAGGTCCCTTCCAATCCCTAACATTCTGTGTGTGATTCTGTGATTCTGTAATTATTAAATGTTGATATTAAACCAGCTGTTTTTTCTGGATGCTGGTTGTAGTTGTGGATGACAGAAAAGTGAAGACAACCAGTAGATGCCTGATGTGAAAAGCCATTTGTGCCAGAAGTGCCATGGAGCTGTCATGTTCTGTTGTATGGGGTTACCTGGCATCTACTTGGGTTGCTGCAAGTGTTACCATTGTGCATGGCCTACAACAGTGGGGCAGTAGCCATTTAACTAAAACATCTGATTTTTTTTTTTCCCCCTTCCTTAAACACTGTCACTTTTCATTGCCAATCCTTTCCAGATTAAGGGAAGTGCCCAGCATGTTCCCTTTTAGGAGTCAGCATTCTGAGCAATAGCAAATGTTGAAAAACCTCACTATGCGTGTAATCTCTCTCTCTTTTTCTGCCATTTTTTTTTTCAATTTTTTTGTTTGTTGTGAGAATTTTTGGAAGTACCTGCAACATGGAGGATAAGAAATGGAAATGGCACATTTTGCTGTGCAGGATAATTCTATTTGTTCTGGTTAGTGCTCCACACTGAACCCTTCTCGTTTATGCTGAAACCGTTTTAGTATGAAACAAACCTGACATGGTCGAGCCTTTGTTATCTGGTGTACAGAGTCCTTCTCCTCCAGTCGTGCCCCCTTTGAGGGTTGCTGAGCATTATGTGTCACTTTCTTATCTTTTAAGATATGATTTGTAATTCATACTTAACAGATGCCACACAATTAACAGTGTTAAATGCCATTCCAGACAGTTCATTTAAACATCCATTTTGCAAATATTCATGAATTTTGTACAATTTAGCATGCCAAATACTACAGACTTTTATTTATAACACTTCTCTAAGAGCTTGTAATTAGGCCTGCAAGTCTTTTCAGTCTTTGAAATTGTAGGCAGTATGTTTGTATGTACGTATGAGTCTATAAAAGCAATTATATGCTATTGTTTTCCAAAGAACTCAGAGTTACTCTTGGCTGCAATGAAGAGAAGCAGTGGCATTACTTGGTATAGTTTTGAGACCAAATGAATTCTAAATTTGCGACTTCTCAAGCACCATCATATAAAGCCTAAACTCAATGTGCTGCATTGACAGTATTTCCATGAACACTTGGGAATTATCATGAGCCTTTCTTACTCCTTCTTTTGAAAATGAAAGTTAAATAAAAATGCATTTAAAAAGGATAAACTGAATAATATAAAGGGCTGAAGGACTCAAAATGGGGAACAGAATGTACGTTATATAAAGAAACAGCTTTTACTGAGGAAATGATAACCCTCTGTGACTATTTAGCAGAAATACTGTGAGAATAAATTGTTGTTTATATTGGAACTTGCTTATAGACTGACTATGAAAATCCATATTATTTTAATTTTAACTCCTCTGCTAAGAAAAGAAATGCCATGCACAGTATGCAGCATCCTAATGGTATTTTCTAGAATCTGTTATATACTACTGTAGAACTTTTTCTTTTTAAAATGTATTTAAAAGGCAAATTTTGTTTGGGATGCTATTATTTTCTTAAGTATATCTTGAAAACAGCAGTTGGCTGTATTACACAAATATTGGGGATTTTCCCAAGTACTCCCTGTTTTCTTACAGCATTTAATAATCTTTGCTTTCCTGCTCGTGAACAATGAGCGAAGTTTGGGGAGAGCACTGTAGCTCCCTTTCTAAGTAGAAGTCTTCAGACAGTTAAATGAAGGTCTCTGGTGTGGCTATTCAGTACAAGATAAATAGATTTTAATTTAAATATAAGACTATTGTTAGTGCTACTAGAAACAAGTGGTATGAGCCAGCACAGATGTGATCATCCACTTTGGAGTCACCCAAAGGGAAAGTTACTGCCTGGTTTGTGCCCGTGGTCTGCACGTGAATAGTGTAAGACATGGCAGTGTTTTGCCTGACGACTGTGGAAAGCATTGCTTCTGTGATTTTGCTGGGTAACTAGCTGAACTTAATCTAAACTGAGTACAAAGCTCCTGGGTGAATTAATTTCTCTATGACTTGGTCTGCTTTGGTGAAAGATGTCCAGTCACCCAGTGTCCAGTCATGCACTGTAATAACAGAAGCTACTGCAATCCCCCAAACAAGTCCTGCTGCCGACTGACGAGGTGGGGACTCTACACGGGCTGTAGTGAGAGGTGAGGTAGAGGCAGTCACTGCTGGGGAGTCACTGCTCTTGGACATGCAGTTCATCTGTGCAGTTCAACACTAAAGCAAGGTGCAGTCCATGGATTTGGCCAAGAGCGAGTCTTCAGTGATAAAAGTGGAACAGCAGACTGACAGGAGAGACAGTTTTGGGGGAACTGACTAATGGACTTCTAACGTTATCCAAAACAGACCAAGAAAACTATTTCCCTGTGCCATTGAAGCTTCCTTTTCATACACAAAGATGCTGCTTGTGTGGAAATGATATCAGTCACAGAATCACAGAACATCAGAGGTTGGAAGAGACCTCGAAAGATCTAGTCCAACCCCCCTGGCAGAGCAGGATCATCCACAGTAGGTCACACAGGAACATGTCCAGGCAGGTTTTGAATGTCTCCAGAGAAGGAGACTCCACAACCTCTCTGGGCAGCCTGTTCCAGTGTCCTGTCACCCTCACAGTAAGGAGGTTTTTCCTTATGTCTACATGAAACCTCCTATGCTCCAGCTTGCACCCATTGCCCCTTGTATTAAATATAGAACCGGGAGTAATACAGTAAAATTAGTTTTAAGACTTTGGTGATTAAGAAAAAAAAATATGTCATGATACTGCATTTATCTAGCTAAAACAATAAGAGGATTTTTATCTGCTTTGTAAAATTGCATGTGCTTTATCTGTGAAGAATTACCCTTAAGATGAAAAAATGAGAAAAGCAGACTGATTATCCTATCAAGTGTGAACTGCACGCTGTCAGAATATCTTGTTCATTTCATATAAGCAGATAACTTTTTTGGGAACCCTTTCCAGGAGAGTGGGATTTAAACTTTCTCACATCCAGGCTGCATACTCTGGCACATTCAACAATCTGGATGATAATCCAGAGAACAGTTCTGTGTTAATATAGAAGTAATTCCTATAATAATAACTTTTAAAAGATTTCCACCAACTTTGTAAAGTCAATAATTCATTCAGAAGCTGGAAATCGGGGTCTTTGGTAGGATTCCAAACTGCTTGTTACATATTCTCTGTAAGAGACAGTGTTTCTCTTGAGGGGCAGTGGTATTTATTAGATGGCAGAATTTTGCTTAATGCAGAAAAATAAACGTAATTGATAACATAAGCATACTTTATAACTATTTCATAATTTTTATCTCTTTCTTGAAGGGGAGCTTTTTGATAGTTCTTTGGCAGTTAGCTTTGTGTAGAAGTCAATGTTTATTTACTGAGAGCTCACTTAGAGTAGAAAAGTAATGCCATTCTGGCCATCCCACTGATGCATTGTCTTAGGATCAAAACTCACTCTGAACATGAAATTTTTGTAAGATACTAATGTGTAAGGAGCTTAGGCCTTTCAGTGCATCAGTGAATTTGCTAGTGTTATGGGTTTTAGCCCTTGGTGTGTGGTGGAAGAATTCAATCTCAATTCACGGGTCTGTGCTCTGTATTTTCACGATATCCATCCATTGTCTTAGTTTAAAACCAGTTTCTAAGAATTCCTAGATCAATACCTTTTAATTTTACAACTTTCAAAACCAGAGTTCATTTCAGTGTTGGTGAAAGAATTTGAGGCTTTCATAGATTTGAGTTGCTCTCGGACTTTTATTTTTCTTTGTGCTATTGTTAAATACTGTTCTGTTGCTTGGAGAACTCATTTGTGTACAGGACAGCTTGCAACAGACCAAAGGTGGCATCTTGAGGCCATTGTAATGATTCAGGGTAGCTGAAATTCAGAGAATGACAGGTGTTAAATACATGTCAAAGTGTTACATGCACTGAAGTAGTGAGTGCATAGATTCAGTTGGCAGTGGATGACTGAAGGTGATCCCCTCCAAATCTGATACTCTTATTTTGCAGAGACACGAGTGGCTCAAAGAATGGTTGTAAAATCTGCCTTTCATTAACAACTGTGTACTGTTCTTCATTGCTAATTCGTCTTCAGCTTTTGTTTAATGCATACAGAAAACTGTGGAGGTGTAAGTGATACTTTTCAAAATAAAGCCTTGGGGAAAAAAGAGCTAATGCACTCTGGAGGTTGTTTTCCAAAGGTTTTAATTCTGAGGTATATCAACTTCATTTTTTACTTCCTCCACTATTAAATCTCATGTACAATTGAACAGGAATTGGTTAAGAGAAACAACTCATTCCCTTGAACATTTTTTGCTGAAGAAGTATTAGTATCAAAGTGGATTATTAGAACCTGAAGCTGACATCTTAATCAGGAATTCTACCAAGTAATCAGGTCTGGATGGAATTTTTGTTCTGCTTGATAATATGAATTTGTACTCAGCTTACTTGTGCTTGTGTCAACATTTTCTGAGTGTATTGGGAGCAGGGCATGTTGAGATTTTTCGGTGATCAAATGAGATGTGAGTCTGAGCTATTTGGAGACTCATAACTGTGCAATTACTGTTAAAGAGGTTGTCAGTGTGCTTGATAGCTATAAAGAACAGAAGACTTCTTCCCAGCTTAGTGTGAATTTACAAATAAAGGTTTAGAACAAATAGAAGTTCCTGTACTAGGCAATGAAAACTCTTGCCCTTCAGAGATTGGTGCTAAAAAAGAAAAGAATTACCCACAACTTTGGAAAGTTATTTGGTGCTGCTAGTTAGAGATGATTCTTTTTATTTGAGTTTTCCTGTGTTTGTGTCTGATACAGCCAGTGCTTATTGTTTTTTCCTCTGTTTCAGCACCCAAAGACAATGAAGAACGTGTGTTCCGGGAACGAATGCGCCCCAGAAAGCGGCAGGGTGCTGTGCGACGCAGAGTACATCAGGTTAATGGACACAAGTTTATGGCCACCTATCTTAGACAGCCAACATATTGTTCGCACTGCAGAGATTTTATATGGTATGACTTTGCTTTCTTTTCAACTTTGAATTAAAGAGTTAACATAGTCTCCTGTTTTGCTGAAGTATAAATGGTGTAGAGTGCTAGTTCTTTTCCTTTTCATTTTAATATTAAGCTGTCATCAGTTTTGTAGACACTAAGACTCTCAAACTTCCATCACAAAAGTTAGAATTTGTTGTATTAGTGTTTTTTCATCTATGAACCGCAAAGATGAATCTTTTCTGGTCTGGTGCACGCTATAAATTCTAGGTAGACAGCCAGTCTCCTGTTCTTCAGGTGCCAAAGTGTAGGTTTAGACCTAATATTATTAGACCTTTACATTTTGCCAAGGTGACTGAATTCTTCTTTAGGTTCTTAAGTATCACCATCTTCCTCCTAGGAAACGCCAAGCTCCTGTACATCCTGCTGA